CTGTTTTTAATGTAAAACGCAGCAACAGTATATGAGAAAATTAAAAATCCATACATTTTATAATTGCATTTACTGCTTTAATTTCTCTCAAATATAAAACAATATTTGTATTTGCATAAATACCTTATGTTGTCTAATTCACAGTGTGACAAGGACAGTTTAGTTTCTATCTGTTTTGTTTCTAAACTCTTGCTGGAGAAAGAGAAACCAGCTGCAGATGCATCTCATGATGTGTATGAGTTTCTTTATTATTTTAAAATACATACTCAATAGCAACAAACAAAATTAATAAGACATTTCTATTTGGTTTTCTCATTAAGAAAACATCTAAAACGGCTGTTACATACTAACTGGCATTTAAGTTTTGGCAAATTAGGAAATTAAAGGACATCTCAGTTGTAAAAAAGTCAATTAACGGTGCAGGAATAGATTTTTGGGGGTTTCTTGGGGGACATATTAGTGACATATTATCATCAATTTTGCCAATATTTAGCTTTGTTTTTGTCTCTACCAAATCCTGAGGGAAATACATGTCTGCTCTACAATGTTCAACAACTGGTTTCTAACTTTGTCTGCTGTTTGGTGCTGAACAGGTAGAATACAGTGACTTTATCAGCTGCCCAATGAGAGGTCAGAATGAACCAATACAGTACGATAGCCAAAACAATGAGCTAAAAGTCACTAAAACACCAGAGCTGAGGGGAACATCAGAGTCGGACTCAATGGGACTTTTCTATTGGATTTCGGATTAGTGCAGAAAATGGTGAACACACTTACACATTTTGTTCAGCAAGATAATCTTCATTAATTAACACAACTTTTACGTCAGGCGCTAAACGAAACTACACTACAGTTGCATGACTTCAATGTCACCACGAAACTTTCAGCTAAATCTTGTTGGATGTTGTAAAGTTTTAGTTAGAAAAGTTTGCAAGAGCACGAGTATAAACTGACTAGTGAGGTTTAATGTCACCAACAACCTCTGTAGTCTTGTTTTGGTCGTTATTAGCAACTGCCTTTTTCAAAATATGTAAAACCTTCAAATTTCACAACATATCTTATGCCCTAGAGCAACGTCTGAAAATCTCTTAAGCTTCTGTTAACCACCGACCTTATTTCAGGTATCTAACCAAAAACCCATTCACAAAACACACTGACTTCAAGGCAAGGGAAGCAAAAATGCTAACTCATTTAGGACTCATACCTGCAGCACTCACATGAAGTTACTTGACCCATTGTTGATAGAAATATAATAATTAGTGCAGCTTTAATTGTCTGAATCAAACAGTGGGTGGAGTGAGTCCAATATTTACTGCCCCCCTTTTACGTGGATCTATAATTAACATTAACACTGGAGAAAAGCTATTACAGTTTTGTTCTCATTACACAGTTTATTCTTCTTTAACGGCAGGATGCCAGCGGTACTCTCCAAGCCTTACAAGTGATGAGCTGTGACACAAAACTGGCGAGATAACTTACCAGCTGTTGTTTTCCTTGGACACAGGGAAGGGAACGGGGAAGGAGAGGCTTTTAGGTTTGTCTCGACTACTGGTCTCATTATCCACTTTTGTATTGACATTTTTTTTATCTCTATTTTGTTCTTTATCTTAATATCTTAGCACTGTTGTTTGTCTGTGCGCTGTGTAGATATGTATCCTATGTCAGGCTGAAGTCTATCATCAGTTAAATATAAGATAAAATACATATGGAGCCAGACACAGCCAGCAACACTTTCTACTTCTAGTGATCAGCACCTCACTGCAACCCTTGGTGTGTGTTACTTTTCCAACACCACCTGAGTGAGGTCAGTTTCTAAAACTGTGCTTCCAGTTAATTCAGTCAACATCTGCACTTGTTCTTGCCTGTGCGAGTTTATCAGATTAGCCCTGTATGAAGCCTCTATGCTTTTAGCGAAATGCAGCAAGCAGCTTATCTGATGGTTGTTCTTGGCCGGCAAATAGTTTAATGTAATCACTATACCATGACACCGAGCTTCCAGCAGTCTCGGTCTAGCAGCGCTGGCTCATTTAAAGACAGCATGGCTATTTTTCTGCTAAGACACATTTGGATGCAGAAGGCTGGAGATTTACATGATAGATATTTAGCTGATGTATTTATGTTGAGCCGACTGATTCCTGATTTCAACGATGCTTTAATATGACACTATAAATAAGTCAGATGAATGTGTAATGTGAAAGGAGTTGTTTGAAGTCATGAAAACATTGAAAATTATTCTGCAGATTATAATTATTATATATCAGCAGTTGGTGGAGACCAAAACAGAGATAAAGGAGAGAGGGCATATCGTACATTCACTAGCTAGATCGTCACACTCTCGCCTCATCCTCCCATCCCAAGCATGTACGACAAAACTATGGTGACAAAAACCAAACAAAAAAACACAAACAGTCCTCTCTAGAGCCAGTGTTTGGTTTGTCTGAAACATGGCGGCCTCTGTGGAAGAGGACCCGCTCCCTCTATAGATAAAAGCCTCTCATTCTAAGGTTACAAAAAGCACAACAATTCTTATTTTCTTACACTAATTTCTGCTAATAGATCCTCCTAAATGTTGCAAACTGGAGCTTTAAGAGCAAATAAACTCGTACACGTGGTAAATGTCCAGCAGTATAACTGTGTCTCCTGCTTGTGACATATAATATTATAATATAATATATAGCATCAAATGAAGTTACAACATGAAACAGGGATTTGTCTAACATGTTTTATTGTGTTTCTTCAAAACAGTGCATTGAATAAGGACTAATAAATGAAAGATTAGTTCAAAAAAATATTTTTATCGGCATGTCGACTGTAACAACTTGAGAGGATGACAAACACTTCAAGTTGGAATAATGTACAGTTAGTACCATAGTTTGTTGTCACCTTTTTAGATAAATTCAACGTGGCATCAATACTAAGTACACAATACACAATTTATCATTTATTCACAAGTCCATTTCATTCAGGCAATGTTACAGTAACATCACCTGCAAACCAGCGCATTCAAAGTTCTGCACTTTTGTTAAAATATTAGTACATCTCGAGGGTCTGTTAGTGTTTGATTATGAGTTGAATTAATTAAAGTGTTTATCTTAAATTCTTACATAATGGAAAAGCATTGTAATGAGTCCTTTGGTGCAGCTTTACTTTATGTAAGGAAGCAATTTAAGGTTGTGTACATACCGTATGTCATGTTCTATGCTTTTTGTTTACATTATTGCTGTCTTTGTGTGGCTTATCTAATACTCTAAATATTGCTTTAATTGGTGCTCCTACTATTGAGTATTATTATTGAGGGTTTCATCGAGATCGTGACTCCAGAAATAATTTTCTCCACATCACCGGTGCAAACACGCACCAGAAGAAAAGACTGTCAGGCTCTTCACTCTACGTGTGTAAATGTTGCGACACAACAAACGATGGGAATCATGACACATTTCTTCACCGAGAGGATCAGTAACCCTCAAAAAGACTTGAAAGTATAATGCAAATTAGAATGTATCATCCTATATTCACTCACCCAGGGCCTACACGTTAATTATCATGGCCTATGCCATTCAAAAACTGGGTTAAATGAGATCTTATCACACAGGAAACCATCTAGACACACAAGCTGCAAGAAAAGTGGGCTAAAAAAGAATATTTAAAACATATGATAAAACTATAGTATCTGTGAGCAAAATAATTAAAAGATACCGAAACATGTCTCATAAAGCTGGAATGGAGATACCAACAAGAGTTCACTGGTGATAAGAGTTCAGGTTAAAGTGTCTTCTAACATATGAAGATATGAAGAAATATGGGAATTAAGTTCAGGCCCATTTCTTTCAGTTTTTGTTGCTAAAGCTTCTGTGTTGAAGAAACCCCGACCCCCCCTTAAACCAGTGACCCCCGAACAGACAACATTCAGCCTGAAGGATTCCCATCTATGAAGACAGATGAGATTGTTTATTGTACATTGTTGCTGTGCTAATCTCTTGAGAGCGGCTCATGAAATTAAACTGTTCCTCATTTTGCTGTAGACTCTGAATCCCCTCAGTCTCAGAGCACTTAACCCTTTAAAATCAGGGAAATTAGTGCAAATCAGCCTGTGTGAGCGTTATGTACTGAGGCCCGTCTGATTCTGATCATCTGAAGTCACAGCATGTTGCTCCCTCTAGTGGTTCATCTCCCTCAAGATGTTAAATGTTTAGTGCGATATAACAACATACATACAGACAAGTCTGGTCTGAAATCCTTCTTTACACAACCAGGCAATTACACAAATTCCCCAGCCTCTTACTTCTAATAAATAAATGTAGTTGTTTAGTCCATTTACACAATCATTAAACACTCTACAGTAAATGTCTTGCTCTTGTTATTGAATGTGTGAACAGCTATCTATCATGTTTCAGGTTGATTCTGAAATAGTCTAGACTTATTTGGAGATTTATAAGAGAAACTACAGTGCAAAACTATTATGTTAAACTTTTTTGACATTATTGGAGAGTACTCTATCAACTGGAAAGGGACTTGTGTAGCCGTTTAGGCATGTAGTATATCACTGTCTTAATGTCACTGACAGCACTGGGTTTCAGGGTGTTTAAAATGCTCTCTAGCCACTTTATATAAAAATACACAGGTTTCAAAGTCACACTGTTACCAGGATGAGGAGTTATTTCCTAAAAACAAGGTGAGTCATATCACCCTTACATCCGTACATTTTGTGTCCTTAAATCCCTTATGATCATAACATAAAGGAAGCTTTTCTTTGTCAGCAGAGAGCAAAGAATTTAAAAGACATTTAAAGGGAAACTAAGTTTTGAACTTCTGCTAAAAAAAGAAAATGTTGTGAATCTTTTTTTGGACAACACACTTTTGCCAGTGTGATTATTTAGTTCATATGAAGTAAATGAAAGCTGGACGCCTCCGATTCTCTGCTTCATTTTTGTTTCTTTGTTATAAACCAGTGACTTTTCAGTAAACCCAATCATGCGCAAAGCAATAAAAATGGAAAAAGCAATCATGCGCAAAGCAATAAAAATGGAAAAAGCGTCCTGAGCCTGTAGCGTTCAGTTTTTTTAGCACCTCAGAGCCAACTGAAAACCAACTCTTCTGGTAGAAAAGCAGAAGCTGAATAAAAACTCTCATCATCATGTTAATTAATATTCCTGAATGGCAACAAGCAGGATCGAATAGGATTGTGTTCGAAATAAAAAAGGGGTCAGTTGAGCCACTAGAGGGAGTGTAATGCCATGATTTACTTCAAAAAGTGCTCTAAAACTACAATGACTGCCCCATTTTACCCAACCCATCTGCACTATTTTGATACCGTTGAACTATTTAAACAGCTGAAATGGCAATGATTAATTGAGAGCTTGATCTCAAGATGAAGTTGAACTTTCCACAAACCTGCACCAGTGTCAGCTTGTGAGTGAGCGTGTGGAGCATCTTTAACTATCTGTCTGTCATCTAGCAACAGCATGTTTGTTTAAAAGAAAAAAAAAAACCCAACAAAACCCCAGAAAACTCACAACCTGGCGTTGACAGCTCCATCAATCATGCACACATTTAGAGCAGCAGAGTCACGCCACATAAACACTGAACATCAATCTGTTGTTGACAGGCTCCTCATTAGTTCACGGACGTTCTGTGTTTTCATGATGAGACTTTTTTGTTGTTGTTGTGTACACTGTTGTGAGAGACAGAGAAGGGAGAGTGAGGCCAACAGGGAGGTAACAAAGGCAAAATCAATTTCACACATGACTGCGTTCAGGAGAGGTGAGTGGCGGCGGGCATCTTGATCTGTCCATCAGCCAGCGTGTTGCTCGCCGCCGTGGCAGCATCATAACTCCTGTTACACTAACCGATCGACAAGGGCCAACAATCATGGCTACATGGATGATACGGCTATTGGAGCAAGAAACTAGGCACCCACTACATCATGAATCCCCACACGCGCCGTATCCATATGACATCTCTGTCTGCAGAGGTGTACAGTGGAGCTGAGCTCATCCACCGACTGTTTAACCTTCAACTCCACTGAATAATGGAGACAAGTAAATTAGGCCATGAGGAACTATGTCCTATTTGTGGAGCATGGTCTTTGCCAAAATGTACTGAGGGTGTATCTTGTAAATTATCTTGTAAAGAAGATTTATATGTCAAAGGATGTCAGAGAGTCTAATTATTTTTCCGAGACTATGATTGTGTGATGGTTTCTGGACAGAAGTCTTGTTTGCGCTAAAAATGTCACTTTGCCCAGAGAGAGGACTCAATGACAATGACAAGAAATCCTCGACGCAGGAGGCGGCTGAGAGGACAACGTCTGACGTCATGTTGTGTGATATTTAGGTAGTGACGTCCTTCACACATTCAAATATTCAGTTATCAGCAGTATCTCTCATCTCCTCTGAGGGTAGGTCCTGATCACACAGGAGGCTATTTTAAGTTGTTTTCGATATGGTTGAAGGTTTTCTGGGCCACTTTTATATTCTAGGAGGACAGGACTGAATGCATTGGGTCACATCACATCTCTACAGAGACAAATAGGACTTTTACAAGTTGAGTTCGGCATGTTGGGAAATACACTTATCTGCTTTCTTCCTGAGAGTTAGATTAGAAGGTCGATACCACTCTTATGTTTGTACGTTAAAGCGCAAAGCCGGTTAGCTTAGCTTACCATTGGAAGAGTGGAAACAGTGGGAACCAGCTGGCCTGCTAGCTGACTTCCTGGTGTATAATTAGTAAAGTTAATCAGCGAGCTTTAAAGGTGCTGGCAGATGGATTTTGTTAGTTTTGGACAGATCCAGGCTGGCTGCCTTCAGTCTTTAGGCAAAGTGAAGCTAACCGACTACTGGCTGTATATTATATGTAGGGTTCAGACTGGTATTGATCTAACTCTCAGAGAGAAGGCAGAAAAATGTATTTCACAAAATGTTGAATTATTTCCTACAGCAGGGCTAGAGGCAACGCTGCACTCAGACTTCTGGCTGGTAATATGGTGTAACTAGCGTAAATCCCATTACCCTAAAGCTGGCCCAATTAACAGCGGATGAATGAATGACTGACAGCTGTACATCAGCTAACTCTGAGGCCGCCTGAAAAATAAAACTCAACAGGCTGTTCCACTTCAAACAAACACGTACCCTTTGCTTCGTCCAACTTTCACAATGTGAAAAAAACAACAACACTGCTTTGGCTCCAGATCTCCAGGGGCCCGTGTGGTGGCAGCTGCCATCTCTAAAAAAGACCTTGTTACCACAGTTTGGTGTCAAATGCTGTCAAATTTCACACATTAATTTAAATTAACATTAAAAATAACGTGTTAAATTTGTTTTGATTAACACATATCATTTTAATTATCTTTTATGGTCACATTTTAGATGATTAAGTTAAATGAAAAAAGACATGTATTTGAAAAATGTCTGAAGATTTGATTTGGAAATACAATGTATTGATTTATAATGCCACCTTTAGATATTTCTATTCAGTGTTTTACTAATGTGCTATCTTTATTTAGGGGCTTTTCCAAGCAAATACTGATATATGTGATTGTTTGTGATTAAATCAGCATATATTTCTGCCTCCCCACCCCATGAATATTTCTCTAGATCTGCCCCTGTCCTTCGTAGGCCTCATCCAGTAACACGTGAGACATTTCCCAGGTTTAACAACATGCAATGCAGTGAAATAATGTAATATGTGTTAAAACTGAAGACAAACCGGAAACAGGTTCATTCTCAGTCTAACATCTGTTAGACACAATTCAAGGAGGTGGATGACAGCAGTCAGCTCAGTCTCTTCCCCCGAAGCAGTTATTGAACAGTTCCTTTATTGTGAAAGCCAAATGTCCCTAAAAACAAACAACCAACTCACTATTTTATTGCTGCGGTGATCTAACTGACGAATGGCTTTACTTTCTGCTTTCTCTATTTATTCATGCAATGACTGTATTTTAATCACTTGCACAATCTTTGTCTACTATTTGGTAACCCATTATGGCAGGAAAGAAGCTTAAATCCTACTGTTACAGGAATTAATAACTTGTCTTTACTACTTTCTGCCCGACTGATCCCCAAATTTCATCTTCGGTATTTCCCGTTTAGTTAATCCATCTTGTATAAGAAAGATGCTTTGCAAGTAGGTACTGTACAAGAGAGGCTTTTCAGGGCTGATCAGTTCCGGGGCCAAAGCTCCACTCAGCCTCAGTTGAGGACTTTTATTCTGACCAAAACCTGTCTTCATTTTAGTGTGACTGTCATTTGGCCTGTATGCAGGAATTATAGTTTATCAGGATAAAGAGAAAGCCCCTGGAAACCACTACCAGAGTCCCCCGTGTTCTCTGAAATAATTTAACTTTGCATCATCTAGCCTGCTGGCACCAAAGCAGCAAGTCTTAGTATTCAAACTGAAGTACACTGTAATCATTAAATATAAATCCATTTATCCTAATAAATTTATATATTTACATAGCGTCGGTGTAGTTCGTTTTCAGGACGGTGGTGCACACATCCAAACATCTTGCCGGGTGCAGGGTACAAAAATAGGAAAATGAAAAAATCCCATGCTTTAACCACGACTGCAGGCCAAAAGGGATCATGAGGCAGTTGAAGCCAATGAAGACCTTTACAGTCAGACGTAGCACGATATATAAAGAGGACAGTAGCATATTCCAGTGTGCAGGTGTTCTTTTCTTCTGTTGACTCAGATATTTCTAATTTGGTTGATTTGTTCCCATGCTTGCTGTTCGAGGACCTTAGGAAGAAAAAATAAATGTATTCTGAGTGTGTTCTCCGGGATATGGAAGTGCTTGGTGAGCACTTTTTGTTTATGTGTTTGGCAAGAACAGTAGTTTCCTCTTATTGTTTGCAAACTCCCATAATCCTTAGCTTCCCGTCTGTTAGAAGAAATGAGTCGTCGCTTGTTGCCAGAGCAAAGTCTAACCGCCTTTTGCCACCATCGTGTCCTTCGATAAGTAAACCACCCAGTAGACCATATTAAAAGCCCCGAAGGACACTGGGAACAGGATCCGTGCATACTTGTCAATTTTGCTGGTTCCACCCATACCAGCAGTGGTGGGCTGAGAGCACGGCGTCTGCTTTAGCTCCAGTTTGTTCCCCATCATCTGGATGCGCTCCAGCTTGGGCCCGAGCAGATGCTGCAGAGACGAGGAGTTGGCGTTCTGCTTGCACGGTGTTGCCGCCATCACGTCTGGCGTGGAAGCTGCAGCCTGCGGCGTGCTCTTCACCAGCTGGGCGGAGGAGGAGGCCACGCTGAGCAGGCTCTCAGATTTGGGGCTGGAGCGGGAGAGGGTGGAGGAGCTGCCGTTGGCTCCGCTGACTAAAGGTCGCAGCGGTCTTGCTCTTCCCACTCCAGAAATGTTGGTGGTGGACTGGGCTCTCTGCTGACTACTGGGCCCTTGGTGGGATATATAATTCATTCGCTTTCTCAGGTTCCCGTTGGAATCAGGATTCTGTTGACAAAGAGAGAAAACACCAATCATATTCTAATTTATTAGAGTTGAACTGCACTGGGATGGCAAGGCTGAGAGGGTCACTTTAAAAATGTAATAAATGTAAAGTACAAGTACCAAATCCAAGTGTCACAGTAAATGTGTCGTCTGCTCAATGTGTTTTTAAAGAAAAACTGATGTATACTGAAATTGTAATCCTGCTAAACAACCCCCCTTTTTTTTACTAAATGTAACTGTAATCTGATTACGTCTTCTAGTAAGTAACTTTACCCTTTTTTTGTATCCTGACTAATTAACTCAGTTGTAACTTGTTACTCCCCAAGCCTGAATGTCAGTACATACCTTGTTCACAATTCTTTAATAAGATAATTTATTTGAAGAATCATCATCATAAATTGCTGTTTCGCTCAATATATCTGATTTTTAAAATGTCCAATATCAATATCTCAAACAAGGCTATATTTTATAGTCCATAATGGGCTATTGATCCGAGTAAGGAAGTTCCATTAAGTGAAGAGATTGAGTGTTACATCATGGTCTAAAAGGCGTTTCAGAGGCTTATTATATCCTTTTAAATAGTTGATACTACATCTGCTGAAAATATTTAACAAAATAATTAAAGCCCTGATAAATACACTTATTTACAAAGTGATAATATCATGCACTTCAAGCTAAAGTTGGTCCGAGTGAGTCAGAAGAGAAAATAAAGCTGAGAAAATGAGGATTTGTAGTTTACATTCCTCCTGTCTGCTTCTCGTTTTGAAGGCAATTGCAAGCAAGGTAAAAACTTCCTTCCTGAAAAGCAACCGGGCAACATAAATCTCGTCATATTGATCTGATTACAGTCCCCCCCCCAACACAGATGGCCTTCATCTGGAAACAGTCGATAGAGTGTGTGCAATACAGATGTCTCTTACCGAGGATTTCACTCATTTCACACAAGCTTAAGACAGAAAGTAGGTAGCACTTCATCGGGGCTGTAATGCAGTGTAGCGTCAAAGGAGCTTATCCTTTGAGCGTTGATGTTTTCAAGCAGGGAGAGTGTGATGCTGGTACTAAGGCATTTGCAGGAATAATCCACCCCCCCTGAAACTGAAAGTGTTATTGTGTCCCATGTGCAGCAGAGGAACTATATGTGTGTGTGTGTGTGTGTGGAAAGCAAAGTGGTTTTGCTTTGAGGTAAAAGACTAAGGAGCTGGAACCATCAACACACCCTGACCCCCTTGCCAAGCCCTGGTTAGCGCCAGCAGGACCTGCTCTCGAGGAAAATAGAGTTAATTTCCCCCCTCCACCCCAACTAACAGTGCCAGAGCCTTTTCTGAAACCTATACAGATGTACTCGGGCTGCGTTGCCGTGGCAACCTACTAATCCACTGAAGTGCCGTTGTCACTATACTGCATTCAGGCATGATTACGCCACACTGGGATTTGGACTGGAAGGGGCAACTTAAAGTAGTTAGTGTAAAACTGACACACGCATTGCATGGGTGATGTCAGCTTCAGTGATAAGTTAACAGTAGACCTATATATTTATTTATTTCCTTCTCTTTAGAAGGAATACGCACTTCCTCCAGCCATCCCATCTGTAAAACAGTGTTTATCCAACACCATAAATGCACTGCTACACTTTCATGAACACTGATCTGTAACACATTCATCAGATCTGACAAAAAGAGCTCTAAAATAGCTTCATGGCATATTCATGAATCCTGATCCAATCCATATGTCAGCTACCATGGTGTCAATGTAATTTGTTTCAACTAGTGACACAGACATAGGAGATTATGTCAGTGTATTCATGTGGAATTTCAAAATAAAAGTCCTGCAGCAAGCACCATAATTGAGGAACACCTCGTGATGTAGCCGTACTCATCTGTGATGTGAAGCTATTTTCGAATGCTTTTCTCGCTTCTCACATTTTCTTCTCTAAACCAGAGTCAGCGAATTAGCAGCTACATTTATGGCTGAACAAAAGCTTAATTTACCCGGGCTGATCTGGGGGTAACAGGTAAGAAATATTTGAAGTGTTCAATTTTATTGTCGACCTCATTTAACAAGCACGTGTTCCAACATGTCGAGCTGTGGTTGACGGAGCAATTATCTGTGTAATCGGGTGAAAGAAACAGGTAGAATTCATGTTTTGACCTTTTTCGGGAACAGTGAACACATAATCAACATCATTTGTGGGCGATATACAAAAGCCTAAACATTGTGGACGACCGTAAAATAGTGTGTGTGTGTCACCGCCAATTTATTAAAGTCTAGTGCCCTGTTTGTTATTTGATGTGGAACAACGTGAGCTTTCAGAAGCCTGGGATTTAAGTACGGTATGCTCAGATTTGTGGTGCTTAACCTCATCATAATCTTTTCAGTTCAACAGTGAGATACAAGCAGGTTTCGGTGTTTCATAGAGGCCTAAACGCACATCCTGGGATCAGTTTTCTGCTCTTTTCTTTACATTTCGGACCATCTCAGCTCTTATGAGCAGGAGCACAGCTGACAGTCCTCAGGCTGGCCCACTCCTGGTCGTTCAAAAGTCTAGGCTAAAGGCCAGATACAGTAAGCACATAATAAGGGACATGCTGTGTAAGTGCTCCTTGAAGTTAAGTACTATCACACTATTTGCCACGGCCACTTTGAAGGAAACAAAAATCACCTGCAGCACTTCCTCGCCTTCCTTGACCTTGACAGGCGTGGTTTGGGGTACCGGGGGACATTTGGCTGGCTTCTTTTTGGCCCGCTCGATCTGTGCGTTGGTGAAGTAGTTTACAGCGGCGAACTCAATGAGGGCAGAGAAGACAAAGGCAAAGCACACAGCGATGAACCAGTCCATCGCGGTGGCGTATGAGACCTTGGGAAGGGAGTGGCGAGCGCTGATACTGAGTGTCGTCATGGTCAGGACAGTGGTGATGCCTTCAGTGGAAAAACAGGACAATATGAAACATATCTGTGTTAGAGGTCACCGCACAAGTCCAAATGTCCAAATATAATACAACTAATTTGTAGTAAAAATGATTTACAATTAAGACTAAACATTTATCTGCTTGTGAAACTGCTCTGAGAATGAGAAACCCTGCAAGAGATTTTCTTCATGTCGTTGCCAAATAAATGATGATAGAGATCATTTGCACAGTGTTCAATAACCCATGTACAGTATGTTGCTCCTCATCAGCATATTTCATTAACTGAATGCAGGAGGATAATGAACCAAATACATTCGGCTCTATGGAATGGAAGACAAAAAGAAGGACAGTGTTTACACCTGCATTGATTGAATGTTTTTTGGGGTCTTTTGGGCCACTTGGGGGCCAGTGAAGACCACAACAGATCCAAAACAGGAGTGAAGCTGAGCTATAATTTAGCTTTTATGAGAGCAGTGTGTGTGTGTGTGTGTGTGTGAAAAACACAAAAGAATAAAGGAACAGCATAATGGTTCTCTGTAGGTTCATCACTACGAACGATGCCTTTTACATTACCAATATATTATTCATTGTTAAAGTATCGGTGTGTAGGATTTAGTGGCATCTAGCGCTATAGTTGCAGATTGGAAATCCCTCGCTTCATCCTCCCTTTCCAAGTGCGGAGGAGAAACTACGGTGCCCGTGAAACATGCAAAAAACACAAACACCCCAATCTAGAGCCAGTGTTTGGTTTGTCCATTGTGGGCCACTATAGAAACATGGCAGACTAGCGGAGTTTGTAGATAAAAGCAGTTCATTTTAAGGTAACAAAAACATAATAATTCTTATTTTCAGCTGATTATGCACTCAGGAGAACATACCTATGGATATTATATTCAATTTCTGCCAATAGATCCTCCTAAATGTTGCAAACTGGACCTTTAATTAAAAAATATTGATGAGCAGAACTTAATTCTCTATTAAGCTTCAACCATATTACACTTTTTTTACACATTAACAAGCTAACATGTACAAATTAATGTCAGATATTTTCCTTCAGTCAGACTGTCACTGCCACCTCTCTCTTTTTTCTTCCATTTTCACTGAGATTTAGTCAAATGTACTTCACAGAGGACAAACAACTGCTTCGCCAATTAAGGTTTAACCCGGCCAATAGGATTATTTCTGCCTGCAGACAAACTCTACCTCCAAATAGCTGCAAGTCTGATGTGTATCAAAAGATATTACGTCACCGAGAGATTGCAGTTTCCAAAAGTATATCTCGTACTCCACACCAGCAACCGTGGACTATCCTAACTGTACAAACAATGTAAGTGAAGGGAGTTTATACCACACATTGCTAAAGGACACATTTGACTTTGCTGTACCAATAGAGATACCGTACAAATAAATCGAGAACCTAATCTGGCCAGCACACAAGGTCACATGTGTAACAGAAGGTTACTGTATAAGCCTGTAGCTCATCATTTGTCCTTCATATTATTAAGCAAAAGCAATACTGTGATTTGGAGAAAATCCCCTTTACGTTGGAGACCTGGAACAATCTGTGCTGCAGAGTCCTTGCCCAACATAAATTCATCCCCCGCGCCCCGGACGTGACCGCCATATAATTACCTGTCAATCAAAACCAGCTGGGTGACATTGATAGGTGAGCTGCGGCTTGAGGCCACAGACGGAGGATATTAACCTCTAATATAAAGCTGCTCTCTACATAAGAAAAAAAAAAAAAGATGGTTGATAGATGTACTGGAACTTTGCATACGTTAAAAGCTTTCATGTCTACAGTACTAATAAATAAATAAATAACTAATAAATAAATAAATATGTGTTAATAGTGCAGTGCTGTACTGTATTTGAGCCTCTTTATATTTGAGTAGATAAGTTTGCTTTCACTCTTTTGACGGTAGTGCTACAGTTGAGCTACCAGTCAACCAATTAGATCTTTACACCGACTGTTTCATTTTCACCTCCGCACAATGACAAGACTGCAGCCTGCGGGGATATTTTGGTACCTTAGATACTGAAAATAGAAAAACAGATGCTGAATACCAGTTACAGTTTAGAGGGTACAGACCAATCTAGTCGCTGAAAATAAATAGTTTGATTTCTGAAGTGCTAGACGAGAAGATCTGGTATCACTTTATTTACAGTTGTGTGCATAAGACGAATGAGGATATGGGTTAATGTCAAAGTCTCTTTTTATTGTCTTTATAATATTTTTGTTATAGTCAATGTATGCTTCTCAACAGCAGATAGTCTACATTGTCATGCACCAATATATGAAGGGAAATTCCTACCTGGATATAAACCTGATTCTGATAAACATTCATGAGATTCCTTCATGATCACAGATTTGTGTCAATTTTATACACCCGCTCTAAAATAAAGTGTTACAGAGGATTCATATGAACCTCATGTCTGTCCATTAAATACAGAGCTGGAGCCAGGAGGCAATTAGCTTAGCTTAGTAAAAAACACTAAAAGCAGCTTGAAAACAGCTAGCTGAGCACAAAAATACATTTACCAGAACCTCTAATTAACATCAGCCGGTACATCTGTGCGGAATATAATAATCCAATATGCTTGGCTTTTGTTCACTAGAGTATTGACTACAGTGAGAAATATGTATGGCACACAATGTAGAGATTAAGTAAACACAGGCTATAATTAGAAAGTAATAAATAATTGTACGTATAAAATCCTCCCATTTCTACACTGAAGACCATTAAAAAAGTGATTTAATTGATTAGTTTTAACTACTAAATTGATCGCCAGCTATTTTGATAAATAATTAATCTTTTTTTGTGGATACAATTTTAAGAAAACCAGATATTTTAGGATGTCACTTTAGGCTTCTGAAACATTGATGAACATTTTCATAATATTTTGACATTTTATGGAGGAAACAACTAATTGATTGATTGAGAAAATGATCAACTAATTAATCAGTAATGTTGCAGCCTTATTCACCTTTGCTTTAAAACTTGTTTCTTCTTGATGCAACAATCGCTTCCATCAGGATGAAAGTGAATAAAATTAACAGTTTCTTCAGTTAAGAATCTAATAAGGAATTCTCAGCCCAATGGACACTTACACATCAAGATTTTATAACTAAAATATCAAAATGACTGTTTACATGGCTGCTCCTGTGATGTAACCTGCAAAGCATCATGCATGACTGCACAGAGCACCTTGAGGCTCAGTTAACTAACACACGCAAATGGACAGAAACACAAAGTGTCAAACATTCATGACCAGTCTCCAGCCTGTATCTCTCCCCAAAACCACAAAATGTAATTTTTATATTATGTTTGTGTGCCGATTAAACAAACTAGATACACTGTGTTAATTAATACACTTCAGAAGAGATCCAGAGTTGCTGTTTCCCCTTGCTTACAGTCTTTATGTTAAGATAAACTAGCCTCCTAGCTCCATTTATGTAATTCAGACACAGACATGAGAGAGTTATAAAACTTCTCATCTTACTTTCACAAGGAAAGAGAATCAATGCGTTTCCTGGAGCCATCTGACCTCCTCTACCATTAAAGGCCACACCTGCACGCTCTCATTCCAGACAAGCTTCATTATAGAAACAAACCATTTGATGCTGTGAATGAGCTTGTTAAGAAATGTGCTTTTTGTAGCCAAGAAGCTCCAACCCTAATCATCCCTCCACTCCTGTTTGTCTTCCTGACAAACTGCCTCTTCCTCGCTCACAGCAGGACACAGTGGTTGAGTCACCGAGGCAGGAAGTCAAAACAGAGTGTGGCTGCAGGGAGGAAGAGGAGAAATCCAAACACAGACCACCCTCCCTCCTCTTCCCACCCCAACCTCACTCACCACCGCCACACACGTGTATTTAAACACAGCGGATAACACCAGAAATCCGCTGCCTCAGAGGCTCAACTGATACAACAATAGTTGCGCTGCTGTGATGCCTCTGTCATTCTGGACAGTTTGGGGCGGGGAGGCGGGGAGGTGGGGAGGCGGGGGCCGTGCAGCTGGACTGTCAGATACATTGGTCACTGCGGGAGAGCGGCATTGATCCCCTGGTGCTTTATTACACTGCACGGCACCGAGAGACGCTTCTAGGGTCACGCAGTGTTTTTCTGCTCAGCTAGAAAACTCAAAACATAAACTGTTCAGTCGACAGCAGAAACATACACTGTGTCTGTCAAATGCTCTAAATGGATGCAGGTGACACTACAGTGCGTGTGTCGTTACGGCAGTTGGTTGTTTGGTCACCGTTAGTGATTCAGTATGCTGTCATAGTTTGACTAAATGTCACTGCAAGCCAACAACAGCCCCCTTATTATAATTAAAGGGGAACTCCACCGATTTTTAAACATCAGAGTCTGTTTACAGGTCTTGGGGAGAATACATACATACATATACATATACATATATATTATACATAAAGCCATTCAGAGGGAGCTGCATGAATTCTGATAAATTAGTTGGTCCGGAAGACGTGAGATTACGAGACTTTCTGTAACCCGATCTTCATCTTTGCTTAAGACTCGCGGCTCAGGGCTAAATTAGCAGCTACACACCCAAATCTCTGACCGAACTGTCAGCAGTCGAGTTGTATTCTGGGTAATGTCGATATCAGATTTTGAATGTGTAAAATAAAAGACAATATCTCTTTTTCTGCTCCATCAATATTGATTTTGTTACTGTTTAAGTTTAAGGAGTAAATCGATGGAGTTTTAAGCACGATAATAGAAATAAATTGAATTATTTTGTCATCCCTGATGCTTATACTGGGGATTATAAAAACTGCACCATTTATAAAAGGTTTATAAGTTGTAACTAATGCTTTTATAAATGCTTTATTGATCAGGTTTAAACCACTGATAACAGTTAGGGTTGTGATGTTGTGAAAAATCCTGTTGGGTGTTATTTATCCTTTCTATTTGGTAATAATGTAGTTATATATGTTATTAAGCCAATAATAACTGCTTAATAAGCGCTTAACAAAAGGATTTTAGTCCAGGTTCCTTTTTCCAAAAAGTAATTGACACAAAGTCAAATGGACATTTCACAGCCAGCAACCAAAAGTTCTGCTTATAACTGATCAATAAAGCATTAGTTAATGATTTACAATGAATGTCACTGATATTTAGTTCTCTCCACATAACAGTCAACACTGTTTTTCTTTCTCTCTCATTAGTCATGGTGATACATTAAAATTACCCATTGTAAATGGTGCTCTTAAACATAATCTATTAGAACTACTTACAAAATGGAGGACAAGCGTCAGTGCCATTATCATTGAATGACTTTCCTTCAACATAAGTGGATGGTTGACAAAGTGAGAGGTCTGTTAATAATAAAACAACAACACCTAGGTCTGGTTTTAGTAGTTCTGTCTGTTATCCTGCCTCTCCATCGACACACACACACACACACACACACACACACACACACACACACACACACACACACACATCAGTCTATTCTAGGTCGGGGACCCAAATGTTGTGCCAGGGGAGCCAGGGAGAGCGTAACTGGGTCACAGGCCAAAAAGCTGAAAGCAACTGATAATGTAGAAATCATGGATAATTCAACAATCTTTGAAAATGTGATAAAATACCAAGCATAAAGGTCCAGTGTGTAATATTTAAGAGGATATTGGCTGACATGGAACATAATATTAATATGTATGTTTTTATTAGTAGTGCAGATGCTGCAAAATCTAATACATAGGCCACTTTAAATTAACTTTAGACTTTTAAAAAGATGTATTCTGTGGAAAAGAGAGAATGGTATTTTTTGTGTAAAATTAAAAAAGCTGTGGAGTGCATTGGTTGCCAAATGTTTATGATGCATCCCTCAGCGCCAGTCAGCTGCCCCATTATGACCGGTTAAGTTACAGACAGCAACCATAACTTTAAGCCTTAATATAATTTAAACAGGTGAATTAACCCCTGTACAGTTATCATGAACAGGGCATGTTTATTTCTGTTGTAAAGTTGGGCATTTTAACATGAGGGCTTATGGAGATTGATCACTTCTGTGGACAGCCTCAAGTGGCCGAACTGCAGCTTAAGTCGGCTTCATTTGCCACGGATGTTTTCCTACTTGGTCATAACCCTCTCTCCCCTGTTTCCTCTCTGCTTCTGCTGTCCAATATAGGTGAAAAAAAGGCTAAAAATAATCTTTATTATATTATATCTTTATAATTAAAATTCTGTTGATACCTACAATCCAAATCCAAATCACCCCCTGGTGCATCTTGCCTCAAACAACTACTTCAAATACTCTCACGGGGTATCTTTCCCCATCAAGGTTTTATTACAGTTTCAACCCATTTACAGGGATATTTATATTTCATCTTGAGAGGATTGTGATGAGCCAAAACAATTTTTGTAGATCCACATTCCTTGTCTTTGCTCGAGGCATCTTTGCTTAGATGTTTTCTTCCTTTATGTAGTCAGCTTAAAACCTGTTTTAAAACTTATAGCATTTCACGTTGCAATCTTAATATAGAAAAAAAAACTTCTCTTTATAGCTCTTTATATTCCCCATAATCACCTCACACTGTAAAATCACCTTGTTGTGCAGTGAAGAGACACTCCAGCTCTGTTTGCTCTGTTGGCATGCAGACATATAATAAATACACAGGGAGCAGAAAGGCTATGCAGGATGAGGGATGTGTGAGGTCTACTTACCGAAGACTGTGCGTGCCGGGACGGATTCTTTATTTATCCAGAAGGACACTTGGGAGAGGATTACTGTCATTATGCAGGGGATATACGTCTGAATCATGAAGTAGCCCATTTTACGTTTTAAGTGGAAGTAGACCGTCATCACCACATATTCACCTGGAGGATCAACAGGAATGAATTAGTTTAACAAAGAATTTAAAGTTGCAGGCTGACAGATTTCAGTTAATGCCGCTTTAGACAGACATCACATTTGATTCTATTTGATCATCCTCTATATTTTAGTGACCCCCCCATCCATTCTCACCTAAATGGACACATGCCACCTGTTGCAACTTTCTGCTGCTAAAATCTTTTTCTGGATGCTTCAGTATTTATGAAGTGACAGCCTCGACTCATGATGTTTACAGTGTTTGAATTCAAGAGGCCGGAGTCTAAATCCTTCCAATATCTACCACCCGTGCTGCTTTTCTACAGTATTTGTCCTGTCATTCATGTGGAAAATACACAGTAGACCTGGCAAATCCAGGTTTGACATAGTACAATGCACACAGACAGCTGAACATCTCTTCTTTCTTTCAATAAAAGATAGTCAACTCTTTTTTTAGAGAAATAAACAACCAAGTGCATCACATCAAACTCTTTTAGCTTGAAAGCATTCAGTATAATTCAGTTGATATCTTAAAATGGTTAAAGGACGAGCGAGTCTCACCTGTGATGGATTTAATCGTTTCACTGGAGACCGTCTGGCCGATGAGATCATACTGAACGAGGCTGGAGGACTCGGGAGGGACCTCCACTGAATGCTGAGGCCCTTTGGTCCAAGTATAGATCACCTCTGTTTTAGGGTAGGCATCTGTGGGCAGACAGCAAAGCCACCCTGATGTGAGTCACTTACTGTAAGATGTGAAGTAAGAAGTGATTGTGTGTGTATGTATGTAATGTGTTTGCACTGGAGGGATTGTATACTGTAAACTGTCTTTGTTCATACATATTAAATATATAGATTTTATTTGCATAGATGTGTGTGTTTGCATAAACATGTGTTGTCAATAAAGATACATTTGTACACCCTCATCCAACTTACTTAGTTACTGAGTCCTACCTCCTATCATATTTCTCCTGATTAGCCATTATTGATCGTTTAAAAGCCTTTTTAAGTCTTAAGAATGCCTTTATTCCACTTTTTTCACAGTTTTTGTACATGAAATAAGAGCCTCAAATACTTTTTGGTTTGCCAGCATGTTTATATGATGGGACATCAATTGATATTATAGATTATTTTCTATATGCTGCTCACTCTTCTAATTTAGGCTGTGTTGTTTCTTATTAGGTAAGTGTTATAGCTATTTATAGCGCTTTGATACAAGCTACTTAATATAGTTTACTTATATTTGGATACATATTATGGACTTATTTATGAAATGTCTTTAATAGGTGTTTGTATGTTTATTTTCCTTTTCTCTTCTTTCATTCTGTATAAAGTTGAACTTCTACCTAAATGTGGTTTTTTGTCCCCTCCCTTCTTCTGCTGAATGAGTCTCTTTAAGTTATTTAGGAGGATGTGAGTCTCTGTTCAGTTCTGATGAAGACACACCTGCTTCAAAACGTTGGTAATTTAATAAAGTCTGCTTCTTCCAGTAAACTTTAGACTACAGCTCTGAAGTCTCTCCTGATACCTGACACTACTTCTTTGTGAAATACAAGAGCAAACGTTTATATCCTAGTTCTTATTCTTGAATACACATTTCCTTCAATTTGAAGGTTTTAAGTTAAAATGATTACTGCTCATTGTTTCTCCTAGGCAAAAAAGCCTCTGAAGCAGCATCACAGGACACTCTCCACTGACTAATTAATTTTTTAGCGGCTACCAGCCCTGTGAGGCAGCTTGACCCCTCACTTCTATTCAAACATAGGGAACCTCGGGAGTAATTAATTTACTATTCTGCAAGACAAATAAGGAGAATGTTACATCATATGTCATTGAAATGGCACCGATTGGCTGACATTTTCTAATAGAAATACACAACGTCATCCAATCCACTGAAACCAATGCAATGTGGTTGGAGTCAAAGTTCACAGGAGGTCCCATCTGTCATTTTTCACTCACTGATGCATCATCCTGACATCCAGCCTCCTACAAAAGTTTAAAAGGTCAGATAAATTCTCTATTGTCTCTAATTTAACGATACTTTAACTCATACATTTATTTCCCAATATTGCCTCGTCAGAGCATTTTTGCTGTATGTACCCTGGCGAGGTTGGCCAGTCTGCGGACGCACAAGGAAAATGCCAGTTGTCTGTGCCTGCCACTCCCTATGGGACCCCACATCGGCAGGATACCAACTGTGCTGCCAAAATGAAATGACTCTGGTGTGTCATGGAGTGGAACGCAATGCCTGTGCACACAAGTCCAGATGGAGAAACAGAAAAGGAGACGGAGAGAGGGAGGGAGAAAGAGAGATGTAGAAAAAATGACGACAGGGCAGACAGAGAGAAAATTAGCACACACACACACACACACACACACACCAGCTATGGAAAATAGCTGCATAGGTCTGTACTATCCTGAGGCAGAGGAAGGGATTCTGACCTTTCCTTTGCTTCAGGCCACATCAGATCCATGGTCGCTTCCTCCTGACTGGAGGCTAGCAGCAGCAGAGCAAGATGGTGAGACGAGGAGGAGGAGGAGGAGGAGGAGGAGGAGGAGGGAGAGACGGATGACAATAACTGAGAAAATGTGAATTTGTCCTCTGCAATGTCACCACACTGGGTAATTGATGGCGGATTGGGCGAGTGTAAAGACAAACTCGTTGTCTTTTCCTTTCCTTTCTCTTGCAGATGTAATCTTCAAATTGCTGCTCTTCTCCGATAAGACGGAGCTGCTCTATTTGAGAGACTCCTTTATTTGAGATAAGTCATTTTTGCTGACCAGTAGTCCCAATATAAACACTGGTGCTGAGCTAGGGTTTCATTGTTCACAATGAAGAATGAAATACTTCATTATTTAGTATTTAGCATTCAGTCGCTTTGTGTTAGACAAAGTGCTCAGCTCCTCAGCACTCTTTTCAGCACAGAATCCATTTCAGCGCCAAGAGGAGAATAGTCATGTGATCCAGCTTTAGAAAAAAACTGACTCTTCAGACCAAACCAGGGCAAACTTTTGATTTGACAGACTTCCTTACTTTCCTAAACTCTAAAAAAAAGTCACTACATGTAGCATTTATATTATCAATCAAATTAACAGGTAGAAACAGCAACAGACACTTTTTACACTTTACACAAATTAAAATCAAACAAAAAAGATTAAACATGTTAGTTAGTGAGTTTTAGAGGCAGACTAGCTGTTTCACCCTGTGTCTTTATGCTAAGCTAAGCTAACTGGCAGCTGGCTGTAGCTTCATATCTGGTACTAAGTCTTTTCCTTTAATAATCCTGTTTTTTTTCCCCCTGCTCTGTCTCACTGAAGTCGGTAAAGTTTTTGAGAACTAAATTCAGGTAAGCTAAAATGAAGTCACACCACTGCTGAAAATACCTGCTGTGTTTTACTTGCGAATTGGGATGCCTCCTGTTTAGTGATGTAAAGTAATCCAGTGGGTCTCCTGTGAAACGACACCGGGAGGCACAACACGTAAAATTTAATGTGGAGGCCGGCATCATCTTTTGGTATTTGAGGCCACATACCGTAGCTGTATCACTGGCCACCAGTTAGCTGCAAGTGCACAGCTGGTTTAAATGTGTCCTGTCAGAGCAAATCAGCAAACATCTGGTTGTTGGTTACCCTCTTCGTCTGCTGTGTACTTTACTCTTAGTGTAACTGCCTCACGTTGTCAGTTTGGTCGCTGCTGTTTTTGGTTCCTACCTGTGATGTAGTATTTTTGGAGGTGAACCTAATTGCTGTTGCCGTTCTAGTGTTCCCGCACGACCCAAATTATCAACACCTTGCAAGTAAAGTGCTAGCAAAGTTAAAATAATAAAAATATAAATATACATACACATATTAAAAGACTGAAAACAAGAACAAGGACGAAGCAAGCTAGGTTTAGTGCCTCTTGTGCCTCTTAAGCAGTAAGCAGCCGGACGAGGTATGTTTCATTTCTATACAGTAAAGATGTTTGTTTTTTTAAGGTTAAGTTTTGCTTTGTATGTGTGTGTGTGTTAGTGTATCCTAGTGTAGTTAGTGTATATGCGACCTGTTGTACAGTTAAAATGACATAAATTGTATAAGACATACATGCATTTTACTATTTCATTTTTCAGCTTTAATCCAGTTTGTCTGTCAGAGGAATAAAACCCTGTTTTCAACCATAACCTTGTGTCCACTACTGGTGGGAGCTACACTTATATTAGATTAGAATTCACATCGTTTACTGACCATGTCTCTCTATCTCTGTTTATACCTCTTTAAATATATGTCTATCCTATTCATTCGTTAGTCCCTTACCCTAACCTTAATCCTTAAAACTAAGTCTTAACCGTCAAACAGCCTTTTAAACTTGTGATTTCCTGCATTCTGGTCTCCACAAACCTGTTGGACCCCACAAGTAAAGTGAGCTCCTGGTTTTTGGACCCCACAGATGTAGTAAAACAAGGCCCGACACTTACACACACACACACACACATAGAGGACTTACAACTTCCAAACTTGAGTGGGCACGCATGTCCATCCATGGGGAAGTCCACGAGCTTCATGGGACACTCGGCACTAATAGTCAACCTGTTGCAGTATAAAAGAAGAGCTGCTCAATAAAGGATCACACACACAAAAAACACACACATGCATCCAAAATATGTGCAAATATTAGGCACTATTTAGCATTCAGTGGGTTTCACTTCATATGTTTCTAATAAAGAAGCTTGTGATCGCTAAATGTGAGCATGCACTGTTGAATATTCTGATATGAATGTATATCAGTGATGAGATAGAAGGTTTATACCAAACCCTGTTCAGTAAAAAGGCAAAGGAGCCGTTATTTGACTGCTATATTGAATTTAAGATTGAAACATTTGGCAGCCTCTGCGCTGTTGACACTGTGAGCCACTGGGTTTGATTTCACAGCAAATTTGCTTGATTGCTTTAAATCAAACAAAGTCTGTCTTCTTTCTTTCTCCAACTTTTTTTAAAATTAGCACAAACATAAAACTATAGATTGTGAATCATGAGAAGAGTTGATTCCCACATCAGCCATTACACATTATGTTAAAATAGCAGGAAAATGACATATAGTTATTTAACATAACAATATGATCTAAGTTAGGCTAAAGTATTGGTTTATTATTCATCAGGTGGGGCCAAGTTCATTGTTTTGCATCTTCCAAGTCCTAAACTTTGAGTTTTGAGTCTTAAACAAGTTCTAATGAACTCTTCACCAAATGTAATGTGATTTTAACAACACAGTGAATAATACAAAATAATCTTTGGTATAAATTCTTCTAACTGTTACTCAATAACATTCATAATTCTCTCCTGCAACTTCATTGGAAACTGCAAGTCAAGTATGAAGTCATCAAATTTGTGATTTGAGTCTGGCTCGAGTCCAAGTGGTGTGACTCGAGTCCACACACCTCGCACACAGTGATGGAGTGAAGCTACTGCAGTACCTCATGGTGTACAGAATGGTGCCATTCTTCATGATGCGGAAAAGCTTGTTGGGAGCCGTCATGTTGTGAGCGACTGACTTCTTGCCGTTCCTGAAGAAGGTGTCCGGTGTCCACACTTTAGTCACCATCAGGTTGTTAAGCCTCAAAATCTCTATCGGGCCCTCGTACCTCAACCTCCGGTCCACCCACGTCTGCCTGAAGAACACGTCCATTGTGTACTCCTAAGACAGGGAAAAGAATTGCAAGAACAAACAGAAGAGGTTGGAAGGTGGGATGATATTGCTTCATGACTATCTGCATTAATCTGGAAGAAAGTCTGCTAAATAAAACATGTTATATTCATGGAGCTTCCCCTGGAGCATAATTTGACTACCTGGAACAAAGTTCTGTGAGCTTAAGGTGCATGCACTTTAAGTATTAACAGTATTAAAGGTCCAGTGTGTAGGATTTGATGGCATCTATTGGCCCTTTCTAGAGACAGTGTTTGATCTGTCTCTTCTGGGCTACTGTAGAAACATGGTGGTTCAACATGGAAGGCGACCTGTAGCAGCTGATTCAAGGGTAACAAAAACACAATGATTCTTATTTTCAGGTGATTATAAACCGATTTAATTTCAGCCAATAGATCCTTCACTATGCTGCACACTGGACCTTTAATATAAAACATTTAAAGTGAGGGTACATACCATTTCAACATCTGACACAGGCCCAAAACTTGTTACGTAAATGTCGGTCTTGACCTCAGTCACAGGACCTATAGAGTCAATGAAACAGACAACAAGTGTCACATTTAATAACTGTTTCCTGTTTTAAATCCCTCCGTGTCACAGCCCAGCCTCACACCAGTCTTATTTACACTTTTGTGCATAAACACTCTTTATAGGCCGTACAGCCCCATCAAGCCCCAAAAAGACACACAATAGCTTATCTCATCCAGAGCCTTCTGCATAATGGAAGTAAAAAAAAAAAAAAAATAGCTTAAAAGATGTAAAAACATAATCCTGTTTGTTGTGTGTGTGTTTTTTTTTTTTTTTTTGCCTTCAGTGAATGAATGTGGAGGCAGACGTTGTTTATAAGTGCAGAGATAAGCAAAACCACAGTGTGCACATTTCTGTTGACAGGCTGCTTCTTCTTTCTTTTCTTTTGCACATAAACCAATGAGATGTCTCTTTTGGAAGAAAACGCTGCTTCTTAACACGTCCTGGTTTTCAGACATGATGTGCAGAAATCCAAATCCGCACTTCTTCTTCAAGCGCTTGAACTGTGCATTTAAGCGTCGGTCCCCGCTACATACACACCATTATTATATAACATGCAAACGTGCGAGCTTAGAGGCCCCCTTCGCCAGACTGCAGAGCCACAACCAGGCTTACAGGATCAAGTCTGGAAAACACGATGTCACATCCCGTGTGTGTCGTGAAACACCACGAAGCAACATGTCCCATACAATGCAAGTCTCCCACACAGAGAACATGACACTGTTGCTATAATGTCCACATTATGAGTTGTGCACAACGTCCACTGCATGTCCTGGAAGAAGCATCCCTCCTCTGATGCTTTTTCCGTCAGATTTCTTCCATTTTTCTTCTATTTTTCTTCCATTTTTCTCCTGTTAATGGGTTTTATGGAGGCGTTTTTAGGGCCTAAAGGTGGTGAAATGTCGGGCTATACAAATACAACTGACTTGACTTCACTTATATGGTGTATTTGGTGCTCAGTGGTGAGTTTACAGTCATTTTAATGCACTTAAAAAAGTCAAATAAGAAAAAGTTCAAGTGTTTCAGAGGGGATGTATGATTGCTGTGCGTAAAAAATGACTTATAAGGTATATTTGGTGCTCAGTAGTGAGTTTACAGCTACATTATTGAGCTTTATGGCGTATTTTAACCTCATATGGCACAAAACAAGTAAAATAAAAAGATAACGTTGCCTCTTCCCTCTTTTAATTTTAAGATGTACAGTGTGCCAGTGCTGTCGTGTGATTACTATCAGCACTTTTCATATGGAAAATGCTTGATACTGCACAAAAATAATCGCATTTATTTCCCTACTTACCCCCGAATCCAGGTCGCAGCCTGTTGTCATAGCCGTCCAGAAGTCGGTCTAAAATGCGAGTAAAATTCTCCGGATAGATCCTTTCATCCTTCTTTGTCTGTCCAGAGATTTTCTTTACACTAGAAAGAAGGAAAAAAAAAAAAAAAGAAGAATCAGGAAACCATAACTTCAAGAAAAAAACCAAAGAAGAGGAGAGAAGCCTTATTAGTGTCGTTTTTGTCTGGTTTCAGCACCACGGACAGAGAGAGACACTGTGGGGACTCACCAAGTCGCCAAACAGAAAAAGTAGAAGAGGGTCCGAATAAAAGCGGGGCGCATCGCTGTCACCGTCTCCTTCTTCTTGGCAGAAACCATCTTTGCATGCCATACTTCCAAGCCCTCTTCACATGTCACCACGCCAGATGTCTGTGTCCCGGGGAAACGCAGGGAGGGAGACGCGGCGACACACAGAGGGCAGAGCGGCGCAGAGAGGGAGCAAGTTGAGCCTCTCTCCTGCAGTGTCTCTCCGCCAGACGCTACACACACACACACACACAGACAGACACACACAAACACACACAGGCACACACACACACACACCTTCACCCTCAGCCCCCGGTCACCTCTCGTCCAGATCCGAGCTGCTCCTGGTGCTGCTGCTGCTGCTGCTGCTGCTGCTGGTGGCATCCAGGGAAAGAAACAATCCAATCCCTCTCTCTCTCTCTCTCTCTCTCTCTCTCTCTCTCTCCTTCCACTCTCTGTTTGCTTCTCTCTTTCTCTCCCTCCCTCCACAGCTCTTTCACTCTCTCTTCTCTGTCTCTGTTTGCTTTTCTCCTTCTCCCCTCTCTCTCTCTCTCTCTCTCTCTCCCTCCCTCTCTCTCTCACACACACCTGCTTTGGACAGGACACACATTAGACGTGCAGTGCTTTGAAATGACTTCTGACTTCCCAGGGAATGAGAGGATGCAGAATGTGGAGGCCTAGTTCGTCTCCTCAGCGCCCCGTATGAGCATTTGGCGTTTCCTGGCACCCTGACCTCACCCTGTATTTCAGAATCACACATAGAACAACACTTTTTGCTTTAAATACTCCTTTAATGTCCTACTTGTGCTCCCTGCGTGCCCTTTGACCCCCCCAGCATCCTTCAGTGTCCATCACTCCTGCTGCTCTGTGACATTGATATACGCAGCTTAGCCTACATGTTGAACTAGTTTCAGGAATTGCATTGGTGAGCGCCTGTGTTAAGATTCAAATGGGTCAGTCTTGTCGCAATACGCAATCACACACACACACACACACACACACACACACACACACACACACACGTACACACACACAAAGGCACACAGGTACTGTATAGAGGAACTGGGACAAGCCACATGCTGCTTCACAGATTTCTCTGCACCTGGGACAAGCACAAGACCTTCACTCTGTGTGTGTGCGAATGTGTGTGTGTGTTTGCGGGTATGTAAAGTGAGAGCATGTGTGGCTCTGAAGGTGAAGTGTGGGTAAATCTCGCAGGATAAACAAGATGTCTGGGTTCCACCACACTGGCTTTCCTGATTAGTTTTGAAGTGCATACAGTATATATACACACACTCACTCACACTGGGCTGAAACAGAAGCCACTTAGTGTGAGGGGAAGGTGAGGAAACATTATGCTGATATGTTACATGCGAGCTGAAGTCATGTGTGGTGTAGTCTTATAACGCAGCTCCCAATCCCCTGCACAGCCGCCCACCCCAGTCCTCCCACAATACACTAGAGCAAGGCGGCTCTGTGGGGGATGAGTAATATGCGTGCTCTTTGTGGGGGCAGGCTTTCGTCCAAGTGATTTTTTATTTTTTTTTTCTTCATTTGTGTTCTTTTTTAGACATTTGATTACAATTTTCTCTTTTTATGGGAGCACTTTCGGCATACTGTACAAAAAGGCTGTAATGATATTTATTCAACAGCAGTCAAATGCCTCGAAATGTCAGAAATACAGTTTTGGAAAAAAGTCACGTTGGCCTTATTATGCCACACTGACCTTTCCCTGAAAGTATGTCCTGCGTTTAAATTACACTACATGATCTATTATTGTGTTAACATTTGTGGCCTTCAGACACGGCACGCATGGAGCTCTAAATAACTGTTAAAGAGTCTAATTTAAATTCTATTATTTTATTCTTTTTGTGGCTTTAGTGTGTGTGCGCGTGTTTGTCTCTGATACAGTTTGTCCTGAGATGCCTCGAAACAGGTTCTTCTGCTTTGTAAGCTATATGCCCTGCAGCAGAAATAACTGCTATGATAACCTAGTTTTTTATCAGTGTGAGCGCATGAGTGTGTGTGTGTGTGTGTGTGTGTGTGTGTGTGTGTGTGTGTGAAGGAAGAAGGTAGAAGAGGTGAGGCATGGCTCTGTGACGGCTGCTGCGTGTGTGTTGTAAGGGGTTGAGGGGAGAGGCAGTAGAGGGGTCATTACATTACCTCCTGTAGGATCCACGTGGGGTCTGATGACAGCCCTCAGAGAGTCCCAACCTGACGACACACACACACACACACACACACACACACACCAACAGCTGCTGCAGCAGAGCTTGTTAGCAGGAGCTCAGTGCACATGAAAGACTGCTGTCTTTACTGTCTGGCAGTTACAGTGAGATCTCATTAACTTTACAGACACTAATTTTGAGACTAGCAGTCAAATAAACCTCGATATTGTGCTTTTGTTCACTGGTAAAGAGAACGGGAAAGTAAGATTTATTCAAGTACAGTTTGTAGGTAGTCAAGCTTTTATTTGATTTATTTTCTATGAGATAGTAACACCTAAAGCGGTTGTTTCCGACGTTTTCCCCGAAGGCAAACCTTTTCTGTCCTTAAGTAAACTGATGACCCAGTACAGAGCAAACTGTACAATTAACCCAGATAGTGAACACAATAACTGCAAGTTTGTGTAAAATGAGTGAAATCGGATGAATTTGTAGTTTATTTATTAGTTTTTATTAGTTTTCCTGATCATTTTAGGGAACTTGTTTTTTCTGTCTGTATTATGTATTTAAATCTTTTTTAACAATCATAAACACTTAATAGTCTTGTTTGTTTGCCAAATTTAGTGTTTTCTTCTCCCTGACTTACTTTTCTAATGCAGGACGAGGCTGTTTAGCTGAAAGTGAAGGCTCTGTTAATATAGCGTGTTATATATTGTTCAGGTATTAAAATATATATATCTCAAATAATAATCTGAACTTTAAATATAACAATTTAATTTAGTTTTCTTCACAAAAATGAACAAAATGCTGAGATATAACCGTACTGAGTTTTATTACAACCCTTGAAATCAAGAAGACCTTGTTATGGTCACCAAAGCTTCACATGGGGGTCCAGACCCCCAGGGAACCACTGATCTAAACTATTACCATCAACACACGTAACTTATAACTTATCATTACTATACGTAAATATTTTGCATGCGTTTTATCAATTTCACGGAGAACTAGTAGGTTAAAGTCTGGTTAAACTAAATTAAGGTAGCTAAGCTAAGTTTGGTTATGTTAAGTTCCTGTGGTGGAGCCAGGGGACTTTTAGAAGCAAAGATATATCAAACAATTAAAAGTAAATGTTGTTGAAGTAGGTAAGTCAAACTATAAGGAAAAAAGCTGTCCCATTTCCCATTTTTAGCCAGTGATCAGCAGGTCACTGCATCTCTTGCCTTCATGTGTTGGACCACAGCTTTTTGTGCCCAATGCAACATGTGCCCACATCCTGTCTGATGTAGCCTGAATAGCATAAAAAAAATGTATCACTGTCAAACTACGCTCACTTTTGACCGAATTTATAGAAATGCTGTTATTTATTTCCCTGCAACAAGCACAGCCAGACTGTTTCCAGCCTGTGTTATTGAGCAAAGAGAGCTATTATGGCCAGGTAGGGAGAAAGCAGCTCTTTTTTTTTTTTTGGGGGTTACGATTGATGAGGCTCATTGTAGCAGTGCAGGAAGCTAATGAGTCAGAACCACGAGTCAAGCTGTCTGGAAATCACACCGCCCGAAAAAAAAAAAAAAAAAAAAAAGCCCAACGTGACATCTTCAACACCAAACAAATGCAGAGGGAGAGACACACAGACTGAAAATGAGACACCAGAGAGTAGAGCTTATGCCACTGCTTTACTTCAACAGTAATTCATTTCTTTAACATGCATCTCAGCTTAACCGTGCATATATTACAAACTAAAATGTGAATGTCAGCATATATACAATAGGAATGTGTAGCTTTTAAAAGAGAACGGTGGCAGCAGGAAGGAACACCTGATGCCAAAAAGATGCAGACAGAAGCACAAAAAGAGTAAAATGTTGCTCTTTTATTAATTTACTTTGACAGTTAAGGCAGAAAGAAACCGTGTCCTCTTCAGTCGCCCTCCTTTCTACTTCAAATGGTGAACTGTTCTTAACACATCAGGGACCAGACTAATGGACTCCTTTCTCTACTCCTGATAACAGCAACCACAAACATGGCACTGAGTGAAAAAGACTTCCCAGAGTTAAAGCTGACGATGTAGACATTAGTGCTTCTTCTTCTTTTTTTTGTGGCCACTGGGGGAACAAGCTGTAAACACGCTATTGACATAATTTTGCATTATAAAGTTATTTATACAACATGGGGGAAATACCTGGCTCTTAAGCTGCTAAATGCTCCACTTTATTCACCAGCGAGTCGCTGACTTTGTCTACAGAGGATTTATCAGAGCATCTCTACTGAGAACAGCAGCTGTTGATGAAAGCACTGAGAGTTAACCAGAATTGTAAAGTTACAGGTGGTAAAACAAAAACAATGAATTAAAACACAGCACGAAGCTCAGGGGAAATACAAAGCTGGGTGATAATTCCTCTTCATCACTATGAGACTGTTCCTGCAGCACCATTATCAGGTCATAATTTCAATTTGTCCCATACTTTGGTTTATGACCAAATATCTGCAGAACTAGTGACATTCCCATCAGCATTTGTTGTTCTTAGTCTAATGGCTACAGTGAACATGGTACATTTTACTTGCTAAACAGCAGCATAATAACATTGTCGCTGTGAGCATGTTAGCATTTAGCTCAAGCACCACTGAGCCTACTTACAGCCTCACAGAGATGCTTGGCTGTAGACTCATAGTCGTGTTTCAGTCATCAACAGTGCACACTGCAAATGTCTTCAACAGTTTACAATAAACAGGAGAGCTACTGTGTGTGGTCATCTGTTGACCCTTAACAGGTAGAGTGTGGTACATTGTGTGTTTTAAAATTGGTTGTTGTTTTCAAAAGGACCCCAGCTACACAACTCCATCGTTTGAGAGGCACCTTTCACATTTTGTTTTGTTTCCTGGTCCATTCATTACGCACCTTTTGAGATTTCCACCTTTAATATCTACAGTTTTGTCACCAAGGACCATATTATTTTTAAAGCCCGTGGGATTACGCTCTCTAGTCTACATGTGGAAGTTGAGCTTGCAATCTCTCTTTAATAACTCTTTATGTAGCAGCATCCATGGGTCTTCTTCAGGGGCATGTTTTCTATTTTTCTGCAGTTTGTCACAACGTACATATTCATACTGGGTTTGAATAATACGAATGCTTTAGTGCAGAATGAAAAAAATGTCTCTTTCACTCTACCTAATGCAGTTTCACTCATCCAATAAAATAATTTCTGGCTTTAGTGCAGCTTTGCCTCTAAAAAATATTTGTCAAAGCAAACCTCCAAATTGCTCGTTAATCCGTTTGCCCCATGTTAAACTCACATTCATCAAGGGTGAATTTATCCACCGAGGCTGCTCTCTCATGCCT